CAGGTCAAAACCAGGACTAAAGCAGGTCTAAACCAGGACCAAACCAGGAATAAACCAGGACTAAACCAGGTCTAAACCAGGACTAAACCAGGACTAAATCAAAACTAAACCAGGTCTAAACCAGGATTGAAAAAGGACTGAACCAGGTCTAAACCAGGTCTAAACCAGGACCAAACCAGGTCTAAACCATGCAGGATTGTAGTTCTTACCGTCGTCCTTTTTTCAGTTTGTCGTCTCGATCGTAAAGTTCAGACAGCCACTTGAAGTCCCTCATGCCCTCAGGGATCAGCACGTACTTTATGCCCTGAAACAGCGAGAAAAGTCAGCATAGAACCAGGACTAGACCGGGACTTGACCAGGACTGAATCAGGACTGGACCAGAATCTCATAGACCAGGGGTGGGCAAACTGCGGCCCTTTAAACCTTTTAATCCGGCCCGCAGAACTGGAATAAATTACAATAATAAACCTTGTTGATGTTTTATTTGTCATGCATTTCCAGTGTTTCCCAGTAGATGGCGCACTATACATACACTGAGTTGCGGCGTATTATATTGGCCGCAATGCTTTATGGGAAAATGTTCTTACAGGAGTTATTCGGACCATGAGTGAAGTATCTGGTGATTAAGATATAAGACTGCACTGCTTCCATTTTGACTTGGTGAAAAGCAATGAGTGCGTATATATGCACATCAATAACCCAGTAATGAACGGGTTTTCTTGAGTATCCCGGTTAATTCATAGTAAACGCAGTAACTCGTTTTCAGTATCCCGATTATTAGAAATCGGATTACCCGGTTGCTACAAGATAAAGTCGTGTGTGCATGCGTTCAAAAGACACTTTCCAGCCCTCCACCACGACAGTAGTGACGTAAATAAATTGACCAACACAAATAGTGACATAGAGTGAAATGACTGTAAAATAAAGAGCTGCGTTAAACCTGCACACGTACAATCTGCACTCGTTCGACCTGCACTCGTGTGACGCTGAAAAACTAAAACATGAACTATCTCCTATACTCTATACGCACAGAACACACTCACCATCATTAGCGCCTCTTCTGTCACAGAAATAAGTCACATAATCCACAGAGTCGTGTCATTTAGTCCAAAAGAAACTGATCGCATCAGCGGCGCAAGGAGCGAGTTGTTCTTATCGCCGCTAACAGTTTATGCTAATTAGCCAAACGGTCTTAAGTTTCGTTTCTGTAAAACGTAAACAAATGTGATCACAGCTGAATTATCTGATCAAACAGGCTGATGTGTCTATAGTGTTTATGGTTTATATGTTGTAAAGTTGAGTTTATTTATGCAGAAGATTTTAATGAAAAATCTGCACAGTGGATTGTGGGAGATCTCGTAGCTCCTTAGCTTCTTATGCTAAAGGAGCTCACGGTTTGTATTTTTCCTGGTTTATGAAATTGATTTAAGTAAATTTTTTACGCTTGCGCATTTGTAAGATTATGTCAAGAAACCAGGATACTCCATTTGATCATGTATACGCGGATATGAGTGTCCCGGTTTCTCAGTGCGCATGTAAACGCAGTAACACGAATACTGACATAACCGGGATATGGCTAATAACCGGGTTACTGATGTGCATGTATACGCCATGGATCTATTAAAATAACTGGATACAGTATTGCTGCTTGTAGCTGCCTCCAGTTGACGTAGTGGTCACTCACTGGAACTTCAGCAGAAAAAGTCCCGTGGGCCGAGACAAGATTTTTATCATAGAGCGCAATATAATCACAAATTGCTCGTGTTCGTCTGACAGGGCACCTACAGCTTTCAAAATTATCGGATTTGTTGGCGATTTTTACCTATTTTTAGATCATAAACTTTTTCTCGCTCAAAATCCTTGAGTTGTCTTAAAAAAACGCTTTATAATCGTTAGCTTCGGCTACGCACTGCTCCGCTCTAGTTCCTCTCGCTCTGATTGGTCAAAGCGATCACGTGATACACGAGCCCGCGCTCCGTGCGTGTGGTCGCATGCATTCGCGTGTGTCCGTGGGAGAAAAGAGCACTACTGCGCATGCTTGGTCGGCCCACGGCCACCGGAAGTACCTAGCCATGGGCTAGGCTAAGCTGGGATCATGCGCCATTGAGCTCAGCCCATTGACTTGAATGGATGGCCATTTTGGAACCTGGGGGCTTGGTATACGCACTCACTGAGTTGCGGCGTATTATATTGGCCGCAATGCTTTATGGGAAAGTGTTCTTACAGGAGTTTATTCGGACCATGAGTGAAGTAGCTGGTGATTAAGATATAAAACTGCACTGCTTCCATGTTGAGTTGGTAAAAATCATTGAAGGAAACTTATGGACTCCAACATTTTGAAGTCATGTTTTTTCACAGTCACAGGTGGACGTCTGTGGTTGTTTGATGTGAGGTTTCTTTTATAGGCTGTAATCAGTCATATTCGACAACGGTGAACTCATGATGTACATTCACTGGTTTTGTGCAGTGGAACACGTCTCAACAGTTTTATATTCTGAATCTTTCGCAGCAGTGATGAAACGTGTAGCCGCGTCTGAAGTTCAAGATAAATGTGAATAAGAACGTAATGAATCTGAGCTCTTAACACGTTATGTCCTGTCTTCTGTCTGGCCCTTCAGTCAAACTTTAGGACCCTATGTGGTCCGCGAGCCAGAAAGTTTGCCCACCTGTCATAGACATATAATCATGAGATCATTAGTCAGTATGAATAATTCTGAAATTCTTAAAGTCAGTGTTGAGTGTTTAAGTCATTTGGTGTTTTATTTACAGTGTTCCCTCGTTTATCGCGGGAGTTACATTCTAAAAATAACCCGCGATAGGTGAAATCTACGAAGTCGTCAACTTTATATTTTACAATGATTATATCTGTTTTGAAGTCTGTAAACCCGTCAGCACAAACTTTTTCACTTTTCTCACACAGGACAGTTACAAACCTTTTTACATCCTTCTTAAAACTTAGTCCTTTTGTTTTTTTCCCTCCTTCTTTATGTAACAAATCGAAAATTAATTTATTCCATAATGGAGCCTGCAGTGCAGAGTCCTGCACGGGTCCATTTCTGGAGACTCGCACCTGCGTAGTACAACACCGCACCTGCCCGTTAACCTGAGATTATATCAAACTTTTTGCGCTGAATACACCACAGACTGAACCAAGACTAAACCAGGACTAACCCAGGACTAACTTAGGACTGATTCCAGGACTAAACAAGAGGACCAAACCAGGACTAAACTAGGACTAAAACAGGAGTAAACCAGAACTGAAACAGGACTCAGTGTCGGGACGGGTTCAGACGTGACCGCAGGAGAACCTCTCCTCACAAAGGTAAACGTGACAACTGCCCGATCGCACTTTGCAGACAAACTGCTTGGCGTTCTCTCTTAAACCCAAGATTAGTCCTGGATTAGACCTGGTTTAGTCCTGATCCACCCGTGTGTAATTACTACCCGCCTGTAATACACAATACGCGTTCATACGTTGTAAAAAAAAAACAAACANCACGGGCTCAGAGTTCTCTCTCAAGTCCAGGATTGGTCCTGGTTTAGACCTGGTATAGACCTGGTTTGGACCTGGTTTAGACCTGGTTTAGACCTGGTTTAGACCTGGTTTAGACCTGGTTTAGTCCTGGTCATGATAAAACGTTGTTAATTTAAGTATTGTTAATTTGGCTCGATTGCAGTTGTAGTTTTTACTCGTCTCTGTGTCTTAGTCTTGTTCTGATGCAGCTCCAGACTAAACGTTCTAAACACATTCAGGAAATGTTGTGCTCTGTCCTCTCAATGCGACTTCTTTTCTAGTATCGATACCTGTGAAAAAAATGATCTAGTTTCGATACTACTAGTTTTAATATCGATTATGTGGTTTTCGATACTCCTGACCGCGCTTTGAGCTGTAAGTCATTACCAGAGAATCATCAGTGTTTTCCTTGTTTTCTGTGTACTCTGTGTGTGTGTGTGTGCGTGTTGTGTGTGTGTGTGTGTGTGTGCGTGTGTGTGTGTGTGCGTGTGTGTGTGTGTGTGTGTGTGTGTGTGCGTGTGTGTGTGTGTGTGTGTGTGTGTGTGTGCGTGTGTGTGCGTGTGTGTGTGCGTGTGTGTGTGTGTGTGTGTGTGTGTGTGTGTGTGTGTGTGCGTGTGTGTGTGTGCGTGTGTGTGCGTGTGTGCGGTTGAGGGGTGTGTCAAATCAAACACACACCTATTCTTCCAATGAAAAGAACACTATATATCCAACAATGCGGAAATTCCAGTGTTGCAACACCCACAATTTTATATAATTATTATATTAATCAATTAGTCATGTTTGTTTTCCTCCCAGGCTTTTTTAGCATCACAGACTTTTGATTTATTGCTGATGTGGTAAAGTTGGCAAACAAGCCAGAGTAACATTACTTCAAAATAATAATATTACTCAAAGTAGTCCTCCAGCTCGGCTCCTGGGAGCCTGACAGTTCTTCAGTATCTTTGCTGTTCCAGTACTGCACTTTTCTGGACTGAGATGTTCCGTTGTTTTTCCTGGATCTGTTGTGTCTCTTCCAGTTTGGGGGTTACAGCCCTGAGTGTTCGATCACCACAGGCTCCACTGATGCTTCACTTTCCAGGCCTTCTCCAGCTCCTCCTTAAGCCCCTGGGATTTCTCTAGTTTCTCGTGTTCCTTTTTCCTGATATTACCGTCTCTTGGTGTTGTGATGTATATAATATATATTTAAAGATAGAAGCTTGTTTGCCTCACTGTTTTAAAGCTGTGTAAGTGCACTGAGCGTGTGACCAGGATCATAACCATCAGGATCTGGTCGACTGCTCCTGAACAAAAGCCTTTACAAATGACAGTTCAACATTTAGTGGTTTTGATGTTCTGGTTCTGGGTGAAGCTCATGGGCCAAACCCTTATGTTTTAATTTCTCTTCTGCTGTTTAAACACATCACACCGAGAAAACATGCACAGGACTCTAACCCACCACCTCCTCACTGAGGGGCACAGGCTCAGCTCTGTGCCACAGCAGTCTGACCTGAACACATAGTCGTGTTGGTCGATCTCTGCTCCTTTCTTGGACCTCCAGAGGATTCCTCCATTGCCCACCACAGCACAGCTGATACAGTCTCTGCCTGGTTTAGGCGGCAGCAGCGGCTCCTTGGGCTTCTGCACCAGGTTCAGAGCGGACATCACATCTGACACACAAAACAAACGTTCACATCCAACTGGAGACATTTCAGAATAAACTCTGAGTTTAGATCATTTTCTGTGATTCCCCGTCACATGTGAGAGGAGCTCTGCACCCTGAGGCTCAGTGACGCACATTTAAAACTGTTTTACTGTTCTCATTATTCTGCACTTCTTTAGAGTCCGTTTTATCCTCTTGGAGAACTCGGTCACACACTGCTGTTCCGACATGCCGCTGTTTAAAACACTGACGTCTAATTGGAGCGGCCGCACAGACATTCATTTTCAAACGTCCCACTAGTTCAACTTTTTTTTTTTTCATTGTCGAAGTAACAGCACTTCACTATTTTTCAAACATTCCGCTTTTTGGACATGAATAATACTAATGTGATGGTTAATATTCTTTGCACTCTCATATATAATAAGACGCTTGGGCCGGTGCAAATCTCTTGATCAGATACTTGAGCCACAGAGGAGATCAGACGGTGGGAAAATGTCCTCACCGATCGTCTTATGGGCCAGGACCAAAAGACTTTGGAACAGTTTTCCCCCTGATGCCGTGAGGCAGATGAATTCTGTCACAAAGCCTGGACACTAATGCACCTTGGAGAACGGGGGCGGGTGGGGGTTGTTTTTTAAAAACTCTATTTGACATATGATATTTTAAACTATTTATTCCTCTTATTATTTATGCTGCTGTTGACTGAGTGCAGTGTTTCATTTCTGTGTATTTTTTTATACTGAAATGACAAAATACATTCTTATTCTGATTCGGAGTCATGTATTTTTAAAAAAGCACATAGGTCAGCCTTCGGGAAAATATCTCATCTAAAACGGAGGCTGCATGGACCTTTGCGCTTCATTCATTTCGTCATGTATCTGTGGAGAACGTCATGTGGCCTAAATAAATAACCATCCAAGTTCTTTGCGCTCTCGCAGTCCAAAACACACATCTGACGTGTCGGATTATTGATATTACAAAGTATCGGGAAAACCGGCATGTCGTAATGAAGGGATGTCGGAATAGGCAGCGGACCAGGAAAACTCACTGTTCTAAATATTTGATATTTGAAAACCGCAAACGTCATTCACAAAGTAAAACCATTTCTTAGTCGTCCTCCTGATTTCGAGGAAAAGACAGAACCAAAAAAGAAAGAAAATGTTCAGAGTGAATCGCAGCTTTGACCCACATGTGTTATTATGTCAGGACTGTCCTCTCGGTGAAAAGACTTTGGCGTGGTTCTGTAGCGCCACATGTAAAAGTCTGTGCGGGTGTGTGCTTCATGTGTAGCCAAAATAAACCAGGATTAAACCACGGACTAAAGCAGGACTGGAGCAGGATTACACCAGGACTAGAGCAGGACTCGACTGGTGTGGACTCTGACCTTGGTGTTTGTAGTTCATGAAGCCGAAGGGGTTGTTGAAGTGGGAGAGTCTGTTCCACTCGCTCATGCTGATGCTTCCGTTGTAAACGTACAGGCGAATGTTTGGGATGAACTTGTCTTTGAGCTCCGGCTCTGCCTGGATCCTGGTCCACAGACTGTTGTCACACTTCTGCAGGACACAGTTTGTTCACTATTAATGTTCATATCTTGATTTAGGAAGACAATAGTGAAATAAAAACAGCAGGATCATGTAAATTTGGTTAATGTGAACATTTAAACTAAAAAATATGAAAAAAAGAGACTGTACACGTGATAAATACTGAGCTCTACTGTACACTACTGTTCCAACTGTAACTGAAGAGAACACAGTGTGATTATGACAGACTGAAATTAAACTAAACACAGAGTTCAGGTTTGAGCTCAGGAGCCAAAAACACGACTGTGCAAGTTTCATATGAAGAGCCAAGCAGAAATAAACACTCATTTACAATCCATCCATTTTCTTCTGGGGCCGGGTTGTGGAGCATCAGTCTAAGCAGGGACTCCCAGGTCTCCTTCACCCCGAACACTTCCTCCAGCTCCTCCGAGGGGACTTCGAGGTGTTCCCAGTCCAGAGACATAGTCCCTCCAGTGTTTCCTGGGTCTTCCCCGGGGCCTCCTCCTGGTGGGACATGAACACCTCCTGATGGAGACGCCAAGGAGACATCAGAGAACAGACGTCCTCCCCTCAGACGCTCCTCTCCACGTGGAGGAGCAGAAGCTCTACTCCGAGTTCCTCCCGTGTAACCGACCTCCTCACTCTATCTCTAAGGGAGCACCCAGACACCCTGCGAAGGAAACTCATTTGTGTCGCTTGTATCTGCGATCTCGTCGTCTTTCAGTCATTACCCAGAGCTCATGACTAGAAGTGAGGGGAGGAACGAAGACTGACAGTAAATCGAGAGTTTTGTCTTTCGGCTCAGCTCCTTCTTTCACAGCCTGCACCTGTCCACCTGCATCTGTCCACCTGTCCAAACTCTGAGGCAGAACCCTCCTCACGGAAGAACCACACAGAGAACTTGACACGCAGGCCTGAGGAGACAGTCCAACACTTGACCCACCAGGAACAGGTCTGACTGCTTACTGCTGCCGAAAATGAACACAGCTCCTGCTCCGGTCGTACAGGGACCGGTCAGACCTTAACAAACAACCCCGAACCCCAGACTCCCAGAGCGCCCCCCACAGGACACCACGAGGGACACGGCCCAACACCTTCTCCAGACTCATTACAATGTTTGTTAAAATGTTGTTTCCTCATCACAAACAGACCTGGAGTTGTGCTTTGTTTCATTCACACATGCAGATTTCAGAGTTTATGGTTTTTCAGCCCTGGAATTGTCAATCGCTACTGAACTAAAGTCTAAAAAATTAGCTGTAAACTTGAAAACTACCATTTCATGACATCACTAGGTTGACCATTGAGCATTTTGAGCTTTGGAGATGTTGACAGACTCATAAGAAAGAGTTACTCAAACATGTGTGAACGAAACAAAACACAACTCCAGGTCTGTTTCTGAAGAGGAAACAACATTAAAACCTGGATTAAAGTTCAAAAGAGTCAGTTTTGTGTCATGGAAAACCTTTTAAACTCCAAGTTTAAAAAGTCATTTGTAATGAAAAGTTGAAAATTACTGGATGTAAAGAGTTCTAGTTTTACAACATGGCATATATATATACACATATACATATATACACATATACACATATATATATATATATATATATATATATATATATATATATATATATATATATATATATATATATATATATATATATATATATATATATATAAAGAACGAAGGAAAGAAAGTAAGATTTGTTTGACTGATTGTTTTGGAAAGTATGGAGCTCTGGAGTTGATGAATTGTGCGTTGAGTTTTGTTTGTTTAATTTATATTTTGTCTAAAAAAAAAAAAGAGTTTGTAGTTTGGGTAAAAGTTTCTCTCTCTGGGCCTCAGGACCAATGATTAAAACCTCAGTTTTGTTCCTGGTTAAGCTGGAGGAAGTTTTCTGCCATCCAGGATTTCATTTGTAGAATGCAGTTCAAAAGAGCATCCATCGGTCTGGTGTCATCAGGAGACATGGAGATGTAACGCTGCGTTTCATCTGCAGAGCTGTGGAAGTTGATTCCATGTTTCCTGATGACACCAAGAGGAGCATGTACAGGTTGAAAAGCACAGGGCCTAAAATGGAGCCCTGGGGCACACCACATGTCATTTTATGGGCCTTGGAGGAGCATGTGTCGACACTCACCATAAATGTTCTGTCTGTGAGGAAGGATGAGAACCATTTGTGAACAGCACCGGAGAGGCCGAGGTGTTTTAGATGAGTTAAAAGAACAATAAAGCATACATGATCCTGGGGTTTCTTTTCTCTAATAATTTGTCCGTAAATCAAATCTAAAACATAATGACCTGAAGTGTGTTTTGTTCTTTATTCTGACAGAGGCACTTTACGTTTGTATGAAGCCACTCATTTCTCTTCCTTTGTGTTCTGTGGTGTTTACTTTGGCACCGTTCCATTTCGAGAACATGGAGTAATTATCTGTGTTTACTCAAACCAAATTAATCCCATTGAGTTACAGAGAAGAAACCGTTCAAGTGCGTCTCTTTGTGTTGTACATTACAGACGTAGACAAACATACTTCAGTGAGTGAGTTTGATAAAGTACCGGCCTCACACTGAACTTTCCAATCGAGCTCTGAGACTCTGCAGAACATTCAAAACGCTGCAGCTCGTGTCCTGACATGAACTAGGAAGTACGAGCACTCAGGTCTCTGCCCCCTGTGGCTCAGAGACTTTAAAGCGACTCTGCTTGTGTCCAAGTGTCTCCATGAACCACCTGCACTCTCCATCAATCAGTTTTAATCTCTAGAGCCCTTATCAACACGCAAGGTGACTGATGTGCTTTCCACGCAAACAAACAGCCAAACCAATTCAATTCATTCCTAAAGCGAGTGCATGATTTCTCTGCTATTCATGCATCAAGAATCTCGGACTTCCAGTCATTGCGCAATTCACACTGGGAAGGATTTTCTGAAAAAGTGAGCATCAAACCGATCTTTTCAAGTCTTTGATCATTTTTGTTTCTGTCTGATATTGTCATATTTTAGTTTTGGGATTCGGACATCGTAATTGTGTGGTTGTTGGATCCTAACAGCGGAAAACAGCTCAAGAAATGTGTTTGCGAACTCCATAAACGCAAAAGTGAATCAGATGTGTGTGACTCAAACCTCCGTTCAAACTGTTTCTCTTCCCAAGCGGAATTGAAAAATAGTGAAAGGTGAAGGTGATGGGCAGGATTGATCCACAGGAAGAACCAAAAAGGAAACATTTGTCTGACTAAGAAATCATCCTGAGTTTACAGAGAACATTTTGTATGTGGAGCGACAACAAAACAAAATCCCGTTTGTTAATGGAGAGGAGCAGAAGACAAACAGACTGAGCTGCACTTTCTTGTTCTTGTGGTTTTACAGCAACATCACGTCTTGGTCTCTTTGCAGTGGAAGGTGTTTCTTGGTGAACAGTTGGAGCCTTTCACTTTGGCGTTGACTTTTTAAATTTGTAACCGAGGCTGAGCGAGGGATCGGGATTTTGTTTTGTCGTTGCTCCTACATACAAAATGTTCTCTGTAAACTCTGGATGATTTCTTAGTCAGACAAATGTTTCCTTTTTGGTTCTTCCTGTGGATCAATTCTGCCCATCACCTTCACCTTTCACTATTTTTCAATTCCTTTGGGAAGAGAAACAGTTTGAACGGAGGTTTGAGTCACACACATCTGATTCACTTTTGCAGTTATGGAGTTCACAAACAAATTTCTCGAGCTGTTTTCCGCTGTTAGGATCCAACAACCACACAATTACGATGTCTGTACTTGTAAAAGAGTTTTTTGAGAATGTGTTCCAGAGTGGAGAAATCTGAGAACGCCGGTGTTGCGTTGTCGTGTGGACGAGCAAACCGCAGCTTTTGGAAAACGATGACACAGCCCTCGAACTGGCCTCCGCAGACCGCAAGAGCGTTGCCAGAATGGGACAGGTGTCGCCTACGGAGCCGCTCCCATCCCCCAGCAACAGAGACATGCGCCAATACTAACAACACACACCGCAGATTACGCACACGGATCAATAACAAAGATTACGTTTACACTGAAACGAATCCGCGTATCACCGTATCAGAAACGATCTGCGTCCACACACATCGTTTCTGTGTCCGCGAGCCTTCCCTCCACACAGCTTTGAGCACATTTGTTTACGTTTTACAGAAACGGAACTTAAAACTGCATGGCTAATTTAATTTGCATAAACTGGGACGGCAGTAGCTCAGTTGGTGGAGCATTCGCCCACTGATCTGAAGGTTGGCGGTTCGAATCCAGCTCTCGACATAAACATCACAGGTTGAGCGGTCAGACCCACTGACCCACAGGTTGGCTGGTGTGATTCCAGCTCCCACACATGAATGCTGTCGTTGTGTCCTTGGGCAAGACACTTAACCTACTTTACCCACAGTGTCAGCTTCTGTCGGACTAAAGGACACGACTTTCTGTGACTTATGTTTAACTTTTGCAAAACAAAACGGTTATATTTCTGGGATATATTTAAAATCGGCTAAATTACCTTAAAGTTTAAAAAAACATTTACATCATTTTCACTCAGTGCTCTGTTGTCGTGTGAACATGAAGATTTACTGATCCGGCACAAGTGTGGATGCAAATTTTTTTCAACCCGCAAAGAAAAAATCCAGGAGCCTTGTCGTGTGGACGCAGCCGGAATGTCTCACTTAAACTTTAAACTTCATCACTGTAAAACTGTCAGCAACAAACTGAAATGAGGAAAAGCTTTTGTTTATTTTACTTCCTTAAAATAGAACTCACCCCAGGAACATGCAAAACTGAATTCACTGGAGCTACTGCTTTATTTGAATATTCTGCTGATCATAGTGATAATACAGACAGACACACCGGCTCCTGTTTTTATGTTTTAAATTTCGGAGGAAGAAGACAGACTGAGTCAGAGACATGGAGGAAAGTCCCAAGACAGGACTGGTCGAAGGATGACACGACGAGCAAGAACAACTGGGATTATTTTTAACAAGAATAAACGTGAAACATGATCCAGGAAGAAATTCATTTGGCTTTAAAATCGGAATAAACCACCCATTTACTTCAAAATTAAGTTTAATTACGAAAATGTATTTTTCATCAAGAATTAAGTGTTTACAATTAACTTAATTTTATTCTTAATTAAAGCTCTCATGTAAACGTGGCGACTGTAGAACATAAAAATAAAGCTCATATCCAAGGTTGTGTTCAGACTGACCTGAAGTGACCCGAATCTGAATCTGAATTTTTCACCCCTATGTTCCTGTATCTGATCTTTTAATGTCAGTCTGAATGACACAGATCAGATTTTTTCAAATGTGACCCAGGACACTTGGATATGTGCTCCTGAAACTGATACATATCTGATCTTTTGACATGTGACTTCAGTGTGAACGGTCAGGTCACATTCATCCCACCCACACGTCAGGCTCAGAGTCTCGGAGTCGGATCAATTGACGGAAAGCGAGGACAGAGAGTTCATTAATATTTGGGGGAGTCGCTGTATTCAGTCGTCGTCTCCGGGCGGGTGGAGAGTCTCTGCCTCAAGTGGAGGAGTTCAAGTGTGTCGGGGTCTTGTTCTCGAGTGAGCGGAGGATGGAGTGTGAGACTGACAGGTGGACAGGTGCTCTCGTCCTCTTGTCCTTCCGGTTGAAATGAGTTTCCTCCGCAGGGTGTCTGGACGCTCTCTTAGAGAAAGGGTGAGGAGCTCAGACACACTGGAGGAGCTCGGAGTAGAGTCAGGACACGCTTGTGGGACTATGTCTTTGGGCTGGCCTGGGAACACCTTGGGATCCCCCCGGAGGAGCTGGAGGAATTATCCGGGGTGAAGGAAGTCTGGGAGTCCCTGCTTAGACTGATGCCCCCACAACCCGGCCCCGGATAAGAAAAGAAAATGGATCACTGTATTCAGGCCAAATTGGAGGCGTCTAATCAGAACCAGGCGGTTTTTGAAATGATCACCAAAAGAAATGTCCGAGCGCGGCTACAGATGGTCCTGACTCCAATGTCAACAAAAAATAAAGATCCTGCGACACAAATGCAAGGCGGATAAAGACTCAAACGAAGCGGCCGTGGACGTGTAACCTGTGCGATTTACCGAGAACTGGACCGGATTTTGGGAGACAAACCCAGAGTTTAGGCGACTTCCGTAAATACTGAACACACTCTCTCTGTGTGTGACATCGTCGTGTCCTCCAGTGCTCATGCGGGACACTTTTAAGGTGTTTAAAGTTCACACTGTAGATCACACACAAGTCGCATTTAATTGGAAATGTGAACGACCTCGCTAAAAAAATCTGATTTCACAAAAAAACTTAGCCATAAAGTCTACAAAGCTTCAGACAGAGCATCACACCTCAGATGAAGTTGTTGACGTCAGCAGATGTTCAGATGTTTACAGACCTGTGTGGTTTTGTGTCTCTCCCGGTCGGTCCTGTACACGTCGTCGAAGTCCCAGTGCGGCAGTTTGGTGAATTCTGAGCCGTACATGACGGGGATGGGGGTGAGGCCGGGCGGGTCTGTCGTGGTGGGAGGAACCGTGGAAAACACAGGATCCCAAAACTCTGAACTTAACCGTAATTCTGGAAAACTGCAAACACAGAGAGAGGAGGAAGAGAGAAAGTGTCTGGTTAAAAGCGTCTACCTAATTTTTACTGCCTTAAAAACATGAAAAACCAAACCGTTCTCTGGGGAATTAACTGTAACAAAACATTTAGATCAACATGTTCGGTCCGTGTACCGTTTGTTCTTTTGAATTTCATTTATGATTCCAGCATTTGGGCAGAATCTCCTGTCCTCAGGGCCAGTTTCTTTGTTTCTTTGCTTATTCCTTTCACTACGACGGTGTGAATTTGGATTTTCTGTGCTCACAAAAATGAAAACAAAGCACAGAAACAAATAATTGATGAATGATTATTAAAGAAATATATGAAGTAAACTTCAATACACGCATCAAGAATCTCGGGCTTCCAGTCATCGCACAATTCACACTGGGAAGGATTTTCTGAAAAACTGATCATCAAACCTCCATGTTTGTTTTCCCAGTGGGATGTGTTTATTGACAAAGTCGATCTTTTCAAGTCTTTTGAACCATATCACTTTTGTTTCTGGTTCTGATATTGTCATATTTTAGTTTTGGGATTTGGACCAAAAAGGAAACATTTGACTGTCGAAGAAATCATCCCGAGTTTGCAGCGAACATTTTGTATGTGGAGCGACGACAAAACAAAATCTTGATCCCTCAAGTTTGGTTATGAATTTAAAAAGTCACCACCAAAGCAAAAGGCACCAACTGTTCACCAAGAAACACCTTCCACTGCAAAGAGACCAAGACGTGATGTTGCTGTAAAACCACAAGAACAAGAAAGTGCAGCTCAGTCTGTTTGTCTTCTGCTCCTCTCCATTAACAAACGGGATTTTGTTTTGTTCGTCGCTCCACATACAAAATGTTCTCTGTAAACTCAGGATGATTTCTTAGTCAGACAAATGTTTCCTTTTTGGTTCTTCCTGTGGATCAATCCTGCCCATCACCTTCACCTTTCACTATTTTTCAATTCCGTTGGGAAGAGAAACAGTTTGAACGGAGGTTTGAGTCACACACATCTGATTCACTTTTGCATTTATGGAGTTCGCAAACAAATTTCTCAAGCCGTTTCCGCTGTTAGGATCCAACAACCACACAATTACGATGTCCGAATCCCAAAACTAAAATATGACAATATCAGAACCAGAAACAAAAGTGATATGGTTCAAAAGACTTGAAAAGATCGACTTTGGCAATAAAGTCCCACTGGAAAACAAACATGGAGGTTTGAGTCTCACTTGTTTGGAAAATCCTTCCCAGTATGAATTGCGCAATGACTGAGATTCTTGATGTGTGTTTTCTAGTGAAGACCCAGGGTCCAGGTCCACGGTTCACCGCTGCTTTGATGATAAAATATCACGATATTTTGGTTGTTACATCCATATTCAATAATGCTCAAATCCACTTTTATTTTGTGATTTATGAATAATGTCTATTGACTTGTGTCGTGAGTAACATATGGATCCCCAGAAAAAAAAAGTTTGGGAGACACTGGTGTCGTGTAAGTGTAAGTCGAGCTGGAGGACGGGTCAGAGTCTCAGTTTTTTTCTGTCAGATACAAGTTTGTGGTTTACGGTTCATGTCTCTGTAATTACAGGTGCATCCACATGAAACAACAACTGACCCGAGGTTTACCCCCTTGTGTGTCACTGTAAATAAACAAAATCATTTTATTCACAATAGCAGAAAAGTAGTTCCATTGTAAAACGGGCTTGTTGTCGGTTGAAAAAGCTTTAAGCCTCCAGATTAATGATTTATGTTTGAGGAGCCGATCCCAAACAGATAAAGACAAGTCTGCAAAACATCCACGTGTACGTGACAGATCTGACACTGACACACGACTGACACTGTGTTATTTTGCGGTTTATCTGCTTGTTTCTATGGAGATGTCATTGCTCTGTTTAGAATGTTCCACAGTGTGACATTAAACAGCTCGACTTTACATTTGTTCATTTACAGGTGGTTTTAAAGCTCAAAAATACTTAGAAATACAAACATTCTGACTGTGAACGGGGTCGCCTCTCCACAGATCTGACCTGTAACTTGGCCTGGTTTGGTCTCCATGAAGATAGAGAGTTAATGCCATACTGTGGAACATTCCAGACAAAGCAATAACATCTCCATGTTACAAAGCCCATCAATCCATTTTCTTCGTCTTTTCCGGGGTCGAGTCGCGGGAGCATCAGTCTGAGCAGGGACTCCAAGGTCTCCTTCACCCCAGACACTTCCTCCAGCTCCTCCAGGGGAACCCCGAGCCCAGACCAGCCCAGAGACATAGTCCCTCCAGTGTGTCCTGGGTCTTCCCCGGGGCCTCCTCTCAGTGGGACATGAACACTTCCTGAGGGAGACGCCCAGGAGACATCAGAACAGACGTCCTCCCGTCAGACGCTCCTCTCCACGTGGAGGAGCAGCAGCTCTACTCCGAGCTCTGAGGAATGAAGAGTAAATCGAGAGCTTCGCCTTTCGTCTCAGCTCCTCTTCACCACAACGGTCCGATACAGCGACCACATCACTGCCGACGCTGCACCTGTCCACCTGTCAATCTCACGCTCCATCCTCCCCTCACTCCAGAACAAGACCCTGAGATACTTGAACTCCTCCACTTGAGGCAAAGACTCTCCACCATCTCGGAGAAGGCACCGCCTTTTTACAGTCGAGAACCACGGCCTCGGATTTGGAGGAGCTCCTCCAAGTTACACAAATGCACCTTTAATAACCGGGCCTATCTTCTGTGTCAGTATAAATAAACAAACGTGAAGTCATTTTTTCACAATGGCTTCAGAGTGGAGCCATTATTCACCTCCAGAGACATAACTGTTTTGAACTGAAAGAACTTTAAGACATATAATTAATCTGACAGTCCCAAATAAACAGTGACGCTTTGGAGAGTCTTTTGAAAACATTGACTCTCCCGTGATGCACTCTTCTTCTCTTTCCTGTTTTATGTTTATTGCTCTTTTATTGTTTTAGATTGTGTCCTGAAATGCACTATGTAGGTTCAGTCCTGATTTAGTCCAGGTTTAGACCTAGTTTAGACCTGGTTTAGACCGGGTTTAGACCGGGTTTAGACCTGGTTTAGTCTTAGTTAAGACCTAGTTTAGTCCTGGTTTAGTCCAGGTTCAGACTGAGTTTAGACCTGGTTTAGTCCTGGTTTAGACCTGGTTTAGATCTGGTTTAGACCTGGTTTAGACCTGGTTTAGTCCTAGTTTAGACCTGGTTTAGACCTGGTTTAGTCCTAGTTTAGACCTGATTTAGACCTGGTTTAGTCCTAGTTTAGACCTAGTTTAGTCCTGGTTTAGTCCAGGTTCAGACTGACTTTAGACCTGGTTTAGTCCTAGTTTAGATCTGGTTTAGTCCTGGTTTAGACCTGATTTAGTCCTGGTTTAGACCTGGTTTAGACCTGGTTTAGTCCTGGTTTAGACCTGGTTTAGTCCTAGTTTAGACCTGGTTTAGACCTGATTTAGACCTGGTTTAGTCCAGGTTCAGACTGAGTTTAGACCTGGTTTAGTCCTAGTTTAGACCTGGTTTAGTCCTGGTTTAGTCCTGATTTAGTCCTGGTTTAGACCTGGTTTAGACCTGGTTTAGACCTGGTTTAGTCGTAGTTTAGATCTGGTTTAGACCTGGTTTAGTCCTGGTTTAGACCTGGTTTAGTCCAGGTTCAGACTGAGTTTAGACCTGGTTTAGTCCTGGTTTAGTCCTGGTTTAAACCTGGTTTAGTCCTGGTTTAGACCTGGTTTAGTCCAGGTTCAGACTGAGTTTAGACCTGGTTTAGTTCTAGTTTAGATCTGGTTTAGACCTGGTTTAGTCCTAGTTTAGACCTGGTTTAGTCCTGGTTTAGACCTGGTTTAGACCTGGTTTAGTCCTAGTTTAGACGTGATTTAGTCCTGGTTTAGACCTGATTTAGACCTGGTTTAGTCCAGGTTCAGACTGAGTTTAGACCTGGTTTAGACCTGATTTAGACCTGGTAAAATACTGAATGAATAAATAAATAAATAAATAAAAATAGATATTTAAAGTCACGGTCATGTTTTTTTGCAGCGTTTTTCCACCTTCAGACTCAAAGCAAAAGTAAAACAGAATCACTCACACACTGACACACTTTCATGAATCAGATAACGCACAGGCTGAGGGCGAGGTGAGCGAGGTGTCTTGCCAAAAGAAACAACACCGGCATTTACCTGTGTTACCTGGAATCATACCTGCAGCATGTGAGTCGTGTTTGTGTTTAGCAAATTTTACCACAGGAAACTTCTGAGTTTAAATGAAACTGAAGAAGTCATTTAAAAGACAAAACACAAAATAATGCACAAAGTCTGGTGTTTTAGGTCTTGGTTTAGTCCTGGTTTAGTCCTGGTTTAGTCCTGGTTTAGTCCTGGTTTAGTCTTGGTTTAGTCCTGGTTTAGTCCTGGTTTAGTCCTGGTTTAGACTGAGTTTAGACCTGGTTTAGTCCCAGTTTAGTCCTTAATTTTGCCCTGGTTTAGTCTTGGTTTAGTCCTGTTTTAGCTCTGTTTTAGACCTGGTTTAGTTCTAGTTTAGACCTGGTTTAGTCCTGGCCTTGTTTAGTCCTGGTTTAGTCCTGGTTTAGCCCCGTTGGACTCACCTGATCAGGACGAGGTTGGTCCAGGAGATGTAGACGATGGTGGAGATGGAGAAAAACAAGACGATATAAAACACGGCTTTTCTCGCCATGTTCCTCTGTGGAGTCTGAGCGCGGAGCAGGTGAGAACAGGACAGGTGCGGCAGGCGCGGACAGGCACAGACAGGTGAAGGCAGGTCAGCGCGCACGAGGGAGGAGCGTGCACGAGAGGGGAGGGGCGTGCACGAGACAGAACGGGCGTGCACGAGACAGAATGAGCGTGCACGAGGGAGAAGGAAGAGTGGTGTTCCACAACAGAGCACAGATGAGGAACAGGACCTGGTTTAGACCTGGTTTAGACCTGGTTTAGACCTGGTTTAGACCTGGTTTAGACCTGGTTTAGTCCTGGTTTAGACCGGGTTTAGACCTGGTTTAGTCCTGGTTTAGACCTGGTTTAGACCTGGTTTAGTCCTGGTTTAGTCCTGGTTTAGTCCTGGTTTAGACCTGGTTTAGACCTGGTTTAGACCTGGTTTAGTCCTGGTTTAGTCCTGGTTTAGTCCTGGTTTAGACCTGGTTTAGACCTGGTTTAGTCCTGGTTTAGTCCTGGTTTAGACCTGGTTTAGACCTGGTTTAGTCCTGGTTTAGACCTGGTTTAGACCTGGTTTAGACCTGGTTTAGTCCTAGTTAAGACCTGATTTATCCATCCATCAATTTTCTTCCGCTTTATCCGGGGTTGGGTCGCAGGAGCATCAGTCTAAGCAGGGACTCCCAGACTTCCTTCACCCCAGACACTTCCTCCAGCTCCTCTGGGGGACCTCGAGTTGTTCCCAGGCCAGTCCAGAGACATCGTCCCTCCAGTGTGTCCTGGGTCTTCCCTGGGGCCTCTTCCCGGTGGGACATGAACACCTCCTGAGGGAGACGCCCAGGAGACATCAGAACAGACGTCCTCCCCTCAGACGCTCCTCTCCACGTGGAGGAGCAGCGGCTCTACTCCGAGCTCCTCACTCTGTCTCTAAGGGAGACGCCCGGACGCCCTGCGGAGGAAACTCATTTCTGTCGCTTGTATCAGAGTCTTGTCCTTTTGGTCATTACCCAGAGCTCACGAGGGGAGAAACAAAGACTGACCTGTAAATCAAGAGTTTTGTCTTTCAGCTCAGCTCCTCTTCACCACATCGGTCCAATACAGCGACCGCATCACTGCCGTCGCTGCACCTGTCCACCTGTCAATCTCACCTGTCAATCCTCCCCTCACTCGAGGGTTCGTGGGAGTTTGCCCAACCAGTCCACATGTGCTTTGTGGATCTGGAGAAGGTGTTGGGCCGTGTCCCTCGTGGTGTCCTGTGGGGGGCGCTCTGGGAGTCTGGGTTGTTTGTTAAGGTCTGTCTGGTCCCTGTACGACCGGAGCAGGAGCTGTGTTCATTGGCAGCAGTAAGTCAGACCTGTTCCTGGTGCATGTTGGACTCCGCCAGGGCCGCCCCTGTCACCGGTTCTGTTCATTGTGTTTGTGGACAGAGTTTCTAGGTGCAGTCAGGGGTCGGAGGGTCTGGTTTGGGGACCACAGGATCATCTCTGCTGTTCGTAGATGATGTTGTTCTGTTGGCTTCATCAGACCAGGACCTGCAGCACTGGGGCGGTTTGACCCGAGTGTGAAGCGTCTTGGATGAAGATCAGCTCCTCCAAGTCCGAGGTCGTGGTTCTTAACCGTAAAAAGTCGTCTTGTCGTCTCCAGGCGGAGAGTCTCTGCCTCAAGTGGAGGAGTTCAAGTATCTCGAGGTCTTGAAGACCTGGTTTAGTCCTGGTTTAGATCTAATTAAGCCCTGGTTTAGACCTGGTTTAGACCTGGTTTAGATCTGGTTTAGACCTGGTTTAGACCTGGTTTAGTCCTGGTTTAGACCTGGTTTAGACCTGGTTTAGACCTGGTTTAGTCCTGGTTTAGACCTGGTTTAGACCTGGTTTAGACCTGGTTTAGTCCTGGTTTAGTCCTGGTTAGACCTGGTTTAGTCCTGGTTCAGTCCAGTCTTTGTGTACTGGTGTAGACTTGTGTGTATTTGTACAGATTTTGTGTATTTGAACAGTCTTTGTGTACTCATAAGGACTTGTGTGTATTTGTACAGATATTGTGTATTTGAACAGTCTTTGTGTACTCATAAGGACTTGTGTGTATTTGTACAGATATTGTGTATTTGAACAGTCTTTGTGTACTCATAAGGACTTGTGTGTATTTGTACACACTTTGTGCACTCGAGGAATCCTGTCCCTGTTTCTTAGAAGCTCGTGGTGGATTTACTGTATGAAAACCTGCTGCTCCCGTTTGACCTGGACACACCGGACGAGAGGCGTCCGCGCTCGGTCCGAGGTTTACTTCAAACTCTCCTCATCACAGACTCTGGAACTTTTGTGTCCGGTACATCTGGATTTATAAAACTCTTTCTTTTCCTCTGTGTGGTTTATTTATTTTTTTCATACTTATCTTTCTATTTGATTTGGACTTGTACATTTACATTTACATTTATTTAATTATGTTTTATTTGACTTCTGTCTCTCGTTTTTCCTGCTGCTTATTATCACCATTCATATTAAATGTAATTATCATTTATCCTTTATAATAAATCTTGTTAATCGGAGGCGAGCGTGCGGGTGGCTGAGGTCAGACTGTGTCATATTAAATGTAATTATTATTTATAATTATAATAAATCTCATAAAGCAGATTTACTGTGTGGGTGGCTGAGGTCAGAGTGTTTCATGTTAAATGTAGTGACTCATTTTTGAATAGAGCAGAAATGTTAAACACACACCTCCTTTACAATCACAACCACACTAATTATGCTCATTATCGATGAATAACTGTGTGTGCAGGAGCGCGCACGGGGAGCAGGAGCGTGCACGAGGAGCAGGGGCGCGCACGGGGAGCAGGGGCGCGCACGGGGAGCAGGAGTGTGCACGAGGAGCAGGATGTGCACGGGGAGCAGGGGCGCGCACGGGGAGCAGGAGCGCGCACGGGGAGCAGGAGTGTGCACGAGGAGCAGGGGCGCGCACGAGGAGCAGGAGTGAGCACGAGGAGCAGGGGCGCGCACGGGGAGCAGGGGCGCGCACGAGGAGCAGGAGTGTGCGCGGGGAGCAGGGGCGCGCACGAGGAGCAGGAGTGAGCACGAGGAGCAGGGGCGCGCACGAGGAGCAGGGGCGCGCGCACGAGGACGGGCGTTCAGGCTGAAGCTGAAGCAGAGTCTGGTGACTGTGGAAATAAAGGGCAGGGTTCACCTGACATCAACAACAAACTTTAATCCACTTCAGGTTCATCATGTTTTGACTCATTTCACAAACTCTCACCCAGATACGAAAGATTATTTATACACACTCATATTATACACACATATTTTACACACACTCATATTATACACACTCATATTATACACACTCATTTATACACACTCATATTATACACACTTATTTTACACACACTCATATTATACACACTCATATTATACACACTCATTTTACACACTCATATTATACACACTCATTTTATACACACTCATATTATACACACTCATTTTATACACACTCATATTATACACACTCATATTATACACACTCATTTTATACACACTCATATTATACACACTCATTTTATACACACTCATATTATACACACTCATATTATACACACTCATTTTATACACACTCATATTATACACACTCATTTTATACACACTCATATTATACACACTCATTTTACACACTCATATTATACACACTCATTTTATACACACTCATATTATACACACTCATTTTATACACACTCATATTATACACACTCATATTATACACACTCATATTATACACACTCATTATACACACTCATTTTACACACACATCATTTATACACACTCATTATACACACTCATTACACACTCATTTTACACACACACTCATATTATACACACTCATTTATACACACTACACACTCATTTATACACACTCATATTATACACACTCATTTTACACACTCATATTATACACACTCATTTTACACACACTCATATTATACACACTCATATTATACACACTCATTTTATACACACTCATTTTATACACACTCATATTATACACACTCATTTTATACACACTCATATTATACACACTCATTTTATACACACATATTATAACACACTCATTTTACACACACTCATATTATACACACTCATATTATACACACTCATATTATACACACTCATATTATACACACTCATTTTACACACTCATATTATACACACTCATTTTACACACACTCATATTATACACACTCATATTATACACACTCATATTATACACACTCATTTTATACACACTCATATTATACACACTCATATTATACACACTCATATTATACACACTCATTTTATACACACTCATTTTATACACACTCATTTTATACACACTCATTTTACACACACTCATATTATACACACTCATTTTATACACACTCATATTATACACACTCATATTATACACACTCATTTTACACACACTCATTTTATACACACTCATTTTATACACACTCATATTATACACACTCATTTTACACACACTCATTTTATACACACTCATATTATACACACTTATTTATTAGTTTATTTCTTTCATTTTGATTATTATTACAAATAATTCATTAATTAATCACTGCATTTATACAGCGCCCTTTAAGACGCCCAAAACTCTTCACAGAAAAGTTTACAATTTGTGTCTTTGTCTCTGTGTCTCTGTGTCTGTGTCTCTGTGTCTTTGTCTTTGTGTCTTTTGTGTCTGTGTCTCTGTGTCTTTGTCTTTGTGTCTGTGTCTTTGTGTCTGTGTCTTTGTGTCTGTGTCTCTGTGTCTGTGTCTCTGTGTCTTTGTCTTTGTGTCTGTGTCTGTGTCTCTGTGTCTTTGTCTTTGTGTCTGTGTCTTTGTGTCTGTGTCTCTGTGTCTGTGTCTTTGTGTCTCTGTGCCTTTGTGTCTGTGTCTTTGTGTCTGTGTCTCTGTGTCTGTGTCTCTGTGTCTGTGTCTTTGTGTCTTTGTGTCTTTGTGTCTGTGTCTCTGTGTCTGTGTCTTTGTCTTTGTGTCTTTGTCTCTGTGTCTTTGTCTTTGTG